AGAAGAACTTAAGTACCATCAACAATTTATGGACGGGTTTCTAAGGCAATACGGACTTCTAATGTCCACCATATTATCGATGTTGTGCGGTCGGGATCATCGACCAGTGAGATACAGACTGCAGTGAATCGCGTTCTTACGGATAATCGTTCTTCTTACAATGACGTCCCCAAAGGAGGTCCATTAAGGGGCTGGTCTAAGAGGAAGGCTTCTAAATCGGCTACGTCGGATTATCTTATAGCCTAGCTACTGGATCCAAGCGAAATTCAAAGTGATGGCGACTCAGCCCAGCAACCTGTTTCCGTGCCCCACGAGCTGTCGCGTGCTACCAAGGAAGATCTCGAGAAGTCTGAGAATCTAGAAATGCTTTGCGGATGAGGAGCTTCCAGACGATGTTCCATGTTTTACGACGCTGGATCCACTTTGGCGCTATTCATCTAAAAGAATAGTCACCTCAACTGCAACTAGAAGTATCCTTGCTACATATGATCGCCATGCTATTGATGTGCATCATATGCGCAGTCAGTCGCTGGCGTTGCTCGAATTCAGTGCAGGAACTTCAAAGACAAGAATAAGCAGGCCATGATCTCCTGAGCCGCAAGCAAGTAGGGAGATCCGGATAAATATAGGTATACACTGTCTGCCTCGTCGGGGCAGCACATACAACGCTATCGCCTAGTTGCATCACTATCACGACTTGATGCCCAATCGTGTAATGTAGCTTGGAAGATTGCGATCGCACCAGTGTCCAATTATTTCCCGAGGCTGAGTCCGTCACCGTTGGATCTAGGTATATAAAGGGCCTCCTTCCCCCAGCCTGTTGTATGCTCTGACATTCTCTTTTTCCTCTTCCCAAGCTTGTATCGACTTTCCTCCCCTGAGAGTGGCGACAAAGATCACGATGGCAAGCCCCTCCGACACGATTGTTATCACCGATGACGAAGAATTGCCAAGCCTCGAGCCAGGTAGCTCACGACCTCGGAGGGCCCCTCGCCGTGATTACACTTATCGAGATTTTGAGAGTATGATCGTCGAATCAGTCGCTGATGAGACGGATAAGACACCATCACGCAAACGCAAAAGAACCGAAACGAAAGAGCCGTCTACTTTGGTACCAGTTCCCCATAAGACCTTGTTCGTCCTTAACTAACAATGGACCAGGAAAACGCCTTTGAGGAGCTCTGGGGGGCGGTTAGCCATAAAATGCAACGGCTACAAGAGAAAAATCGCATCCTTCGAGATGAACTTCGCCAGGAGAGGGAGAGGCACCAAAAGACGCAAGAGGAACTTTCCCAGCAAAGAGAAAAGCATATCCTAGAGTGCAAGATCTATTATATGCAGCCGGATCGCTGGGTGCTCATTCTATGTGGACACATGGTGTGCAGGTCATGCGCAGGAAGTCTTGGAACAATGGAGAAGTGTCCTATCTGCCGGGTACCAATCACGGGATATATCGGATGCTATCCTTTTGCAGGATAAAGCATGTATATATCGTGTTGCAGGTCTAGTTCAATGACTGAAAGTCTATAATCAACGCACACCCAAGCTTAACGCCAAGTGATATCTTCTACAGACTCAACTACCAATAGGCTCAAATTTCTACTGGATGCTCCCCTAGGAAACCGATATGGCCGTTTCATCTCTACCCCAGTAGACGCGAATGAATAGATTCTACTTATATGTGTCTAGTTTGGACAGCGAACCATAAGGCCAGGAGACGCTGTTTCTGGATCTTTAGGGGCCTCAAAGCACCCCAAGGAAGGGTTACCAAAACACGGGTATCCAAGAATACAGTATCAGAGAAATCCAAGAAGAGGACCGGTTGCTGCGCCGGATGATTCGAAATTTTGCGTCGTGATTGAACCTCATACCCTCGGCCCGTCATCTTCATGTCCAAAATTAAATCAGTACAGAAGTCTATTCCATGTGGTTTGTGGTGTTGCGGCTGAGAACAACATGTTTAGTCATCTCATTGGAAGCTAATCATCGACCCGATGTGGAGCCTTACCTATTAAGGCCGCAGAGCCCGCTTCGTTTATATCCTTTTTAACCCCCCTAAAAGGGTTTGGTACCTGATATTACTCCTTTAGGGTCCATGCTTGAGAAACACTGCAGTGTAGGCGGTGACACTGTTCCCAGAAGTACATTATACAGGAGCTAAGTATCATTCATAAGGGTTTCGCATCTATATTATGTCGACAAGTTCTACATGACCTGTGAGCATGTCGGCACTCTAGGGAGTTTTAGCCCCTGAATGGTGAACGACCCCTATAACGCTAATCTAAAAGCAGTACTTGTCTAAGAAAAAATGAAACTCAGCAAAGACTTGGCCAAAAGAAAAGACAAGTTCATTTCAGGGCATTAGCTCCCTCAGGGGAACTTCCTGCCAAGGGGGTCATATGAAAGCCGAAATCAAATCATAGTCAGCAAGCCTCATGAGCTAATCCCGGTGGTATCACAACATGCTCTTCAAGTCACCAGGATACTTGATTCTCCTCATACAATCCCGACTGCAATCCGCAACCGTCTCCATCCCGGCCAATCCCATACCCAGCCACAGATCTGCAAGTAAACCCTCAATCACAGATTTTGCACCCCTCTTACCATCGATAGCAAGGCCATATATGATAGGCCTTCCGACCATAACGGCCTTCGCCCCAAGACACAATGCCTTCATGATATCCGCCCCAGTTCTTATCCCAGAATCAACCATCACCGTCATCTTGTCACCCACCGCATCCACAATCTCTGGAAGCGCATCCAACGACCCAATAGCACCGTCAACTTGTCGACCTACAAGGCATCAATAAGAACATGTCAAACCAACGGGATAGGATAAACACAAACCCCCGTGATTCGAAACAACCAACCCCTCACACCCTGTCTCCAGCGCCCTCCTAGCATCATCTACATGCTGAATTCCTTTCAACACAATCGGACCTTTCCAATGCTTCCTCAAGAAGTCCACCTCTTCCCACGTATGCGGCTTTTCATTCAGCTCTGCAACCCAAGCACTCGCAGCGCCAATAATATCCTCCTCGATCTTTCCACCTGCCTTCTCATACTTGGCCCTAAACACCGGATCCGTAAAACCCACCTCATTGCCAATTCCCCAATAAAATGGAAAATATCCCTGATCAAGATCTGTAGGCCGCCATCCCAATGTCCATGTGTCAAGGGACACCACCAAAACCGTAAACCCATTGTCTTTGGCTCGTTTGAGCAACGAGAGGAGGATATCCTTGTCGTGCACCCAATAAAGCTGGAACCATCGATGGCCGGATTTATTTGCTGCAGCAACCTCCTCAATCGAGCTGCTGCTTGCTGTGCTTAGGGTGTAGGGCACCTCAAGTTCTGCGCAGACCTCGGCAACACCGGTTTCTTTGTCCTTGTGGAAGAGGCCTTGCACGCCTACTGGTCCAACGATGAGAGGAGATTTGTATTCCTGACCGAAGAGGTTGACTGAGATACTTTGGTTGTCCATCTGGAAGACATCCTGTCTTAGTTCTTACCCTTCAAGGAAAATATCTAGCCGATATTGGAGAAGCAGAGAGGGGAAAACGAACCGGCCTCATAACTCTTGGGATTCTACAACACCCAGGTTAGACATTCGATCCCATGAATACCCTTTCCCGCGCTCTCCCACTTTGCTGGATTTGAGGACTTACAACTTCCATTGACGAAATGCTAGCCGGTTGGCATCCATCGTTGCTTTCTCCCCTGCCCCGGTGGCAACATAGCTGTATGCACGAGCACTGAGAACTTTCCGGGCATGTTCTTCGAGGAGCGTTGGGTTTGTGGTTACGGCAGGAAATTTTCCTAGTGCACCTTCGTGGTAGATCTTCGTTTGGTAGCTGCCGAAGTTGATTGGAGGCATTGCGGAAGATCAGGTCGACCGAAGTGGCCGGTACACGGGAGTATCTTGCAAAAGGCTATGATCTTAGGAGAATAAATAGCTAATTTGGACGTTTGCTGGGCGGGACAAGAGCCCTTAAGATCATGGTAGTTTGATATAAGTTCAGGCCAAACTATTGCCCAAGAGAGTATTGTCTGTGGCTGCGGCAGTTGCACCAAAGCATCTAGAGAGTCCATTTCTGCAACCTAAATGACCAATATTAGCGGTGAGCCTGCACAGCATACTGGGTCTCTGATGTAGATCGGAGAGGATTGTAGTTTCTTTTTTTTTTTATTGTTCCAGCCATTGCTAGTACTAAGTGTAACAAAAGGCACGGAATAATTCCCCAAACTTCACCGTATATTGTATTGCCTGGGATGGCGGAGCTGAATGTTCGGCATGTCTGATACTACTATATAATACTGATCACTCTATGCAATGCGTGAGGAGCGTAAGGGGCCTGCATATATATTCAAGGCATAATTAACTTGAAGACTTAAGCCACTTATCAATTGTGCTACGTGTCAACAAATCATGTTACTCAGGACCGCAGGTACATAGACAGTGGCGTACCAAAATACCATCCCTTACTTCATGAGTTTGACATTGTCTCGTCTTCCTGATGATGCAATATGGAAATATTCCAGCGGAGTCCACCCTCGTCCTTAGGAGCGGTCATAGTCGTGATGCATTTCGAAGTAGAAAGGATATGATACAAGGTGTCTCCGAGGGAGGACCTATACTCCTTGCTTGGGGCTAGCATTGGCTCAGGCACAGATGGGTTTCATTCAAGCCCGTGCGTTTTTGTAACGGGATAGGATTAACATAGTCACCTCGTGAACGATTCAGACATCTAGCTTGATGCTATGGGAATGCGCATGATTCGAGTGTGACCAAAAAACTGGGATATAGAGGATTTGAAGAAGGTCAGCCATTGGACTGTGTACTGCATACTTTATGCTGCGGTACTTTCACACTAGAAGTCTCCCAGTCAATGCTATAAGCCGCGATGTGGGATCTTGTTGTGGTTGTGCTATCTATCGTCCATTGACGATATTTAAACCCCCACATCAAACGCACCGGCTCAACCGGAAGCAACAAAGCCATGGCACTATTTGGGGATCTAGAGCTGAGACAATACGGGGTCTCGGCTATATCCGGCTTTCTCCCAGAGACAAAGCCCTTGGGGAAACTTGCAGATCCTTTGTATAGTCCTTGGGAAAGTATCGTGAATGGCCTGCCACAGCTTATCAAAACCAACACTCTCAGTGATGCAGTCGACAATCTTCCGGTACTCTCAACAGCAAAACTTCGAACAGAGGATGAATGGCGTAGGGCATATCTTGTTCTTGGCTTCCTCTCTCAGGGATATATTTGGAGTGGCAACGAGCCGCGAAAGGTGAGTAATGAACCTAGCTGCCCAGATCTTAGCCTGGAAGCCTAGAAAGATACACACGCTAATCCAATCTACCAACCATAGAAACTACCTCTATCAATCACCTCCCCTCTCCGAAGCGTCTCCTCACACTTCAAAATAATTCCTTGCGCAACCTTCGCTACCTACTGCCTCTGGAACACAACCCTCGGAGATGAGGAAGACCGCACAAACCCCTCATCCTACTCCGCCCAAATTACATTTACAGGCTCACATGAAGAAGAATGGTTCTACACGACCTCCGTCGCAATAGAAGCCCAAGGCGCCCCGCTCATCCCCCTGGCGCTCTCTGCCGTTGACGCCACAACGATTTGTGACAGAAAGACAGTTACATCTTTCCTCGAGGCATTTTCTACGTGCATGGATCGGATATGCGAGATCCTGGCACGGCTCGACGAGAGACTCTCTGCAGATTTCTTCTATCATAAGCTTCGGCCCTTCTTAAGGGGCAGCAAGAATATGGCTGGTGCCGGGCTACCGGAGGGGGTGCTTTATTCGAACTGTCGATGTGGGGAGGGCGAGTGGGTGCAGTTCTGTGGGGGGAGTAATGCGCAGAGTTCGCTGATTCAGTTTTTCGATATTGTGTTGGGGACTAAGCAGGATTGTGGGTTTTTCAAGGCATGTCAAGTCCATAAGGGGTTGCACCGTTCAAGGCTAAATACATAAGAAATGTGGTGAAGCTGACAGAAGAATGATTTCTCAGGATATGAGAGACTACATGCCCGGCACCCACAGAGCTTTCCTCTCACTCATGATGGAGATATCGAACATCAGGGACTACGTACTAAGCCACTGTCCCAATTCTGCCGTCTACAGGGCGTATAGCAAAGCCGTGACAAAGCTTGGCGCTTTCAGGGACGCGCATATCCGCGTTGTGGCAAGATATATCTTAATCCCGATGAGAAAAGGGATTCCCATGCCAATATCAGCAGTACCCGGACTCGACCGTCACATGAAGGTAAAACTCACGGGAACCGGTGGTACTGATTTCATGCAATTTCTTCGGGCGTCGAGAGATACGACGAAGTCTGCTTGTTGTGGGACGGCCCAGCGGCCTTGTTCAGGGGTTAAGGACGTAATATTGACGAAGAAGGACCTTGTTGCTGTCAGCAAGACTACGGCGATAAACGAGGGCGAAGACAAAGGTAGCCATTGAAAGCTTGGTCCTGTGTCATTCCCTCTAGGAGCGTACGCAGCAGTTCTGAATTATTCACATTTAGTTTATTTCTTTTAATATTTGTGCGCAAAACGTGTATTGAATGCCCGGAGAAGACCGAATGGCATAACATAGAATGATCCAGGAAGAGCAGAAAGAGAATCTTTGCTCCCAAAGTAATGTAAATGTAGAAGAACACGGATATACCCAGCGGTATAGGCGCCAACTGCCAAAACCCCATTTCTAGTAAATATTTGATGCCTCAATGCATGATTTAATCTGGTTATTAACCGCTCCTTACACCGTCCTATACAATGTAATGTAAATTATTCATCCCAAAATTAAGGGTTTCATCAGCATAGAAATGGAGATATCTCACTTTGTATGGGTTCACAAGCTTCATTTTTGACACCTATAAACCGTCTAAGAAAGTCGAGATATTTCCATTTGTATGGGATGCAACCTTCATTTTCGAGAGTTGTAAGCGCTAGCAAAATCAGGCTACTTTGATTATGAAGGGGAGTGTCATAGAATTTCAGGTATTTTAATTCTTCTGCCGGTCTTAATTCAGGCCGCCACACCCAAACTATGCATCAAGGCATCAACATTTACCGGAAATATGGTTTTGGCAGCTGGCGCCTATACCGCTGGGTAGATACCTGTTTTAATGCATAGCCATGCATAGTGCGACGAAGCAAAAGGTATGAGCCTAGCATTCCGCCATATTCGGACCAGCGGTGAGACTTGAGGGAGACAATGCGAATACTGGAAGTATGTATTTTCGGTGCTCGTCCGTGGATATATTGATAGGTTACTCTGGTGGATTGCACTTAATATTTACCCATTTCCCAAAAACAACGTCTACCTGCTGTTGGCTGATTGAGCCATTGGATTCTAAAAGACTTTTTTATCATAAGACATGGAGGCCGAATTCTGTATCACGCACGTCGACAATGACACCGTCTCGAACCAGCAGCCGATGAAGGAGACGGCCATGACATACCTGACAGCCCAGGCTGAACTCAACGGGCTGACGAAGAATGGGCTGTCCACAATTCCACTCATAGCATGGGCTGTTGTGGTCCACAAGTTCACTGACACGGACACTGTCAGCTTTGGTGTTCATTATATCTCTTCAAGCAAGGCCACCGAGGAGAAAACCAGGAGACAGAGTTCCATCTGTTTAGTGAGCATTGATCCTGAGGCTCGGGTGAAAGACTTCTTATTGGGGAATAAGCACAAATTAGAGCCCCTTGGGTTGGAATTCCGGCCTGAAGTGAGCACGGCTATTTTGTTTCATCAAGGAGAGAGGGACTTGAAGGAAACAGTTAGTGTAATCTGCCACTCGGGATGCAAAGACCATGTAAGGATTTATATCGAGTATCCGTGTTAATTGAATAGGCACTGACATAATCATTAGCGTTACGATGTCCTGATTGCCCTGAGTGTGAACGATGAAAATCCAACAGCAAGACTGTATTATAGGTCACCTGCTATATCCGAATCCCGCGCCAAACGTCTCCAGGGTAACATGGCAGAGGCAATCCAGTGGCTCGTGAAGAACCCCGAGCAGAAGATGCGAGAAGCAAAAATCTTCAGTCCCGAGGATTATGACCAGATCGCTCAGTGGAACAACAAGTCTTATTTTGACCAACTGGACGGCCAAATTATCGACGCTATCATAGATCAGCATGCTCTTTCAAATCCCACTGCCGCCGCAATCCACTCCTGGGACGGCAACCTGACCTACGCCGAACTGAAGAGCCTGTCATTGAAACTGGCTGCCCATTTACAATCCCTTGGAGTCTGTCCGGGTGACATGGTGCCTCTGTGTATGGAAAAGTCCCTCTGGGCGATTGTCGCAGTGCTAGCTGTGATTAGATCTGGGGCTGCATTTGTCCCACTGGAAGCCCTCCAACCTACAAAGCGACTTGAAGGAATTATCGATCGAGTGAATGGACGTGTCATTCTCGCATCTCCTGCACACGCTGCCAGCTTAGAGCGCGCGGAAAGAACGGTAGTCCGCGTCAGTGCAGATGCTATGGCGCAACTATCTCCCCCAGAATACACCACCCCCCAGCGAACAGCAAGCTCTACCGCCTATATCCTCTTTACCTCTGGCAGCACCGGCCGCCCAAAAGGCTGCATAATGAAACATAGCGGACTGACAGGCTTTGCTGCACACGCGCTACCCCTCCAAATTACCCGCACCAGCCGGGTCCTCCAGTTCGCCTCCTACAGCGTGCACGCATCCCTCGTTGAAACCTTCTGTGCCCTCTCCGTCGGTGGCACACTCTGTATCCCTACAGATCACGACCGGATGAATGATCTACAGGGTTCCATGAACCGGATGGGCGTTACTTGGATGACCATGACGCCGTCGACGTTGAAGACGCTTGATACCCAGAATCTGCGGAGTATGCAAACGATTCTCACGGGCGCTGAGGCTATCCCGAAGAACGCGTACGAGATCTTCGAGGGTGAATTTTGGTTGCTTATTGGGTATGGTATGACGGAATGGGGAGGGATTCTGAGTGCGCAGAAGCCCGGGACAAGGGATACGATGAACATTGGGGAGGCGTTTCTTGGTAGTATCTGGCTTGTTGATACCGATGACCATACTCAGCTTGCGCCTCTTGGTGCAGTGGGCGAGTTGCTTATTGAAGGGCCTTACCTTGCGCATGGGTATTTAGATGACGAAGAGAAAACAGCTGAGGCGTTTGTTGTTGATCCGGTATGGTTGCGGCAGTTTCGCGGGGACGCCTGTCCCCAACGGAGACTATACAAGACAGGCGACCTCGCCAAGTACGAACCCGACGGGACGCTGCGCTACGTTAGCCGCAAGGACAGTCAGGTCAAGTTGCGTGGATACCGAATTGAGCTGGAGGAGGTGGAATATCATCTTCGGGAGTGCTGGGATGGGATGGAGCATGACGCCATTTTTCTTGCAGATGTAGTGGTTCCAGCGGAGAACTCAGCCTCTCCATCACTCATGGCATTTATTCTCGACCAAGGAGCATCTACGGCCAAAGATTCGTCGCTTTTCATGACACCAGACGAACAGTTCCATCTACGCGCGCGGAAGGCTGTGTCGAAACTGCGCGAACAACTCCCAGGCCACATGGTCCCAACCGTTTACATCCCCCTATCAAATGTGCCAATGACAGTCTCCCGAAAACTCGATCGAAGAGCCATACGGACCCAAGCCGCCACACTCAGCCAGCATCAGCTACTACGTTACCGAACCGAACCAAAGACTGGAGAGAACGAAAAGGCCCAGCCATCCTCTATTGCCGAGCTAGCCCTTCATCGAATGTTCGCTCTCCTACTTGACCTCAAACCTACGGAGATTGGAGTCAATGATAGTTTCTACGTGCTTGGAGGCGACTCGATTGGAGCAATGCAGCTAGTTTCTATGTGCCAGGCGGAAAATATACCGCTGACCGTGCAGGATTTGTTTGAGAAAGAGACTATTGCGGGGCTTGCAGATGCTGTAGAGAGGAATCGCTTGAATTAGAAGAGATTTGTCTCCTCTCTCAGGGTTGAAGCCAAACAATGCGCAGGTCATGACCGGTTAAGATGTAACGCTATACATGGAGAAATTTACCAAGAACTGCCGGCCGGTCCGCAACGCACTACGCATAATCCATCAGCTGGATCCGTGCATTGACTTAGGTAAACAATTGTAAATTGGTTAACGTATTTCACTCGGTGGCGTGGCCAATTCGCTAGTGAAATACGTTAACTAGTTAACTACATGTAGTTAAGTTTACCTCATTAACTCCACGGTTGCGGTTCGGTCCGCATGGGCTCACCGCAATAGCTGCGCCCCACGAGGGAAATGCAGCCCCCGCCCTCCTCCTTACCTATGTACATAGCACTCGGTGGCGTCCATTGCTTCCCTGTGTAACCCTATATGTATTTGCAAAGCCAATGTAGCATATATAATACGATTTTAACTAATGTAACACAGACGTGGAGCACTAAGAATGCGCATATCCTACATGCACTATCCCAGACCGCCTCGCCGAATACCGGGGAAACCAGAACAACAGCAGGAGCACATTGAACCACGGTTACCTCCCTTACTTTCTTGTAGGCAGCACTAAATGTTTATACGGTGACGTGGCCTGCAGTTGCCAAAGAATGTTGCATAACAGTAACCTCAAAACCTGTTACACAGTCTATCTCCCTGGCGTAGCCCATATGAATCAATGCAATGTAATACACCCAGTGGTATACGCGCATATATTCTCAGGGTTGGGCATAGTTAGGCCCTCTAAAGGGTGGAGACCTGCAACTCGTAGCCGGACTACAACCAATCCACTCTCCTGTCCGGTCGTGTCCTCCGTGCACGCGAGGTGAGATACGAGTCCGATGGTGGTATTATTGGGTCCCAAAATAAAATACTGTCCGTTATGTGTTGATACATGTCTCTGACCTCCAATGCGCCGTGGGTGAGGAGAGGAGAGTGAGGTGTGCGTCTGTGTGCTCCAGGTACGTTGGGTACCATACCACCACCAATGTAGGGCTCGTGTAAGTGGAGAATGGGTTCATGCATCAAATTATGTTGTACAAAGCCACCTTCTCTTCGAGAATCAGATCCTATAATTCTTTGAAAGAAGGAATGAAAGAAGGAAGGAATACCCAGCACCAGTAGACTTGACAAGATCTCATCTCATCCAAAATCATCATCTTCAATCAAGAGTCAATCGTTCAATCATGGCGCAGCCGAATCCCCCATCACCAAGCTTCAAACGAGTACACCGGGTGTCCCCAGTGCAATCCCGCTTCTGGTTCGCCGAGCAATACATGTCCGACCCGACGCAAGCCAACATGGCCGTGGCCTACAGAACCACCGGTGATTTCGACATCCAGCGGTTTGAATGTGCCCTAAAGCAAGTCCTGCCACGGCACGAGACGCTGCAGACTGCAATTTTCATGGATCCAAGCACGCGTGAGTTGTTGCAGGGCGTGCGTGTTGAGCCGGCGCCCTCTTT